CTGAACAACTTTACTTAGGAGGTCAAAGTTGGTTTTATTAATAAAATATTTAGATATTTGCGTTTTTGTAAGATACGGTTTTGGGAAAATTTTGGTACTAGGATCTACAAGATTAAGTTTAATTTTACAACTGAATTCTGACTATGTATTTTATAACTATAAAAAAATGCATAGATTCATAATGAACATACAACAAAAGTTTTTGGAACCGCTATCGAAAACATCCATTATACTATTGAGACAATGATGCATTGATACGAAAAATTAGGGAATTGGTGAAAGATAACCGAAATAGTAGTTGTTTACCTTATTATGTATTATTTTGTAGATGAACCCAAGAAACAGACTTCATTAACACATAACATAACGGCCAAATTTACTTCAGAAAGCATCAAAAAAGTTAGTATATAAACTATAATTATGTTAAATTCGCAAAATTTTTCTCAATTTTTCTACCTTACACAGGTCAAAACAACACAGACTGATGTGTGACTTGAAGTATCAAATGAGTCATAATCAAAGCCTTTCAAAATACTTTTAACAGGGTCATTTGTTAATTTGAGACAAAGAAGTGGATATTATTTGGATAAGACTCACTTCATTTCTAAAATAGAAAATCTTAATGCCCAAGCTATACTTTCTTTGTGTCCCCATCATTTTGGTAAAACATTATTTCTTTCTACTCTGTCTTCTTATTACGATATAAAGAACTGAGGAGATTAATTCAAACAATTATTTGTTAATCTGTTCATTAGTAAAAATCCCACGCTATTAGCATCTTTATTCCTAGTTCTGGAGCTTAATTTTTCTGGAATTCGCAACATATGACATCTTTGAGGAGAACTTTCACAAATGTTTGAATCTATTTATATCAAGATTTATATATCGATATCAATAGGAGTTGGGTCATTATTTTCAAATTGTTGATGAAAATTCTGTTGCTTTGACAAACTTATTAAGGTTGCTGAATGCAATAGAATTATGTGGTACAAGGTATTTTTCTCTTGTTCGGTCATATATTTGTTCAAAAAGTATTAAATGATTATCCTTATATATCTTTTAGCTATACATTTGCATTAATGAATATGATGCTGTTATTAACGAAATTCTTAGAGACAAAACTGAAATCTCCGATAATTACAAAAAGAAAAGCAAAACCAAATTAATTAAGAGTTCATTCAGGCATTTTTACAGTTGTTTGAAGACTGCTTTGTGATAGAGGCATAGCTTATGTTTTCCAAACTGGCGTAACTCCTGTTGCTATGTTTGAATTTACTTCAGGGTAGAGGCCTGTATTGGGTCCCGCAGCCCAGCCCAGCCAGGCTAGGCCTGAAGCAAAATTTTACAACTGCGGGCCAATGCCTAAAAATTTTAAAATTTATAATAAATTTTGCGCGCTAAGCTGGGTTAGACTAGTCTGAAGAAAAATATATATATATGCGGGCTGAGCTGAGCCAGCAAAAAAATTTTAAAACTAAGTGCGGGCCGAGCTGAGCTACAAAAATAGGTAATTTGCAGGCTCCTACCTCAGGGGTTCAATATTCAACAGATTTAGCATTAAGTGAATAATTTTGGGACTTGCATAGATTTAAGCAGTCAGAAGTTGAACTTTTTTGAACAATATTCTTGGAAATAATCTGCTATCTGATATTAAGGGATAGTAAAATGGTTAAAAGAGGAAAATAATAGATTTTTTTTAACCCTAATCAAGCTGAGGGTATATTTAACACTGCTCGTATTCTATACTGTATTCGAATGTTGATGGGGAAAATAAAATTTATAAGCTACAGTGAGGATTCTTCAAATATTACCAAAAAACTTCTTCATTTTCCCCTAATCTGAATACATTGCCTTCTCAAACAATATTGGAATTAATTGTCGACAATCCTCTTGGCAAATCTATCCTTACTAAAGTACTCAATTGAAGTCCTCTCGAATCAAGAAATGTGATAGAACAACGATTTCGTCTTATTAGCATTCGGAGCTCGCAACCCGTTATTATCGTTCATGTTCTATACTGGTGCCCTCACATATCAACTGAATTCATTAAGACACATATTTTGAATCCCAAATCGTGTTTCCGAGAAAGAGTTTATTGCAGAGGCACTAAAAATCCACAGCTAGAAAGAAGAGGATTTAATATCTGTACGAAGTTGCTTACAGATTTTGGAGGCAAAATGTAATATCGAACCGCTCTGCTGATTTGTAGAGGAAACTTTACTTAAGCCATTGAAAGACAATAGTGTTAAACATTCAAATGAAGAGACCTTGAAGCAATCTTTTATGGACACCTTCACGCGGATATTAAACCAGAATTTTGGGTAAATTCTCAGAACTCTCATTTAGGTAATAAGGCAATTGATTTAGTGAAAACAAGTACCAGAGGAAGGATAGCAATCGAATTTGATAATATTAGGATGGAATGCATTAACCTAAACAGAACTCAAAGTACTTGGCAGAAAGCCATACAAGCATCATGATCATTGAGACGAAATCAGAGAATGAAATTGTAAACCTTGAAATTAGTGATCCATACCGACCAAATCAAAAGACAGTTCATGAAGCTTTGGAATGGAAGGTTAAAAAGAAAAGCAATAAGTATTTAGAGCCGTTAAAAAAACGACATGTTTATTGTTTTGAAGGTAGGTTTGCATCGTCTAATTAGCAGGAAAGTTTATTGCGTTAATGAATAACCTGTAGGTTAATCATATAAAATTTTTTTCCGATAATGCTTTGGTTTTTAACTTATGTATCTGGTGTGATGTAAAATGTGTATGAGAAAAATAAAGTGTATATGCTATTATATTTAGATATGATGTATCACGGTCGAATAAAATTAGATTTCTGTTTATTGTACATATAAATTTCGCAATAAAGAAAGACCTGGTGGTTAATTTCACTTACATAACATGTTTAATCGCGTCTTACTTTTACGTTTATATTGAATGAATTTATTTTATTGTATTATTATCGATGTACATTACTCATATATGATCGAGAATTTGTCTTGGCAAGAGTGATCGGCATGACAAATTGTCATGCAACACAATTTTTTATTTGAATAAAAAGCATTAACTATGTATAAAAAAAGTATTCTTCAATGGCGAGCCCATAGGACTTCTCTTTATTTATAAAAAAATGTTGTCATAACAACAATATACAAATAAAAATAAAAAATAAAAAAAAGTGTATGCCTCAAAGAGGCGCCTCTTAATGGGCTAGATTGGTGGGGTTTCACATTTGATCTAATATTACTTTTCGTTGACCAGGATTTAGGGTTGTTGGCGCAAAAATTCTTAATGGCATGCCATTAATATTTTTTGGCACATGGCATGCTATATGGTGCACCATTTAAATAATTTTTAATGAATTTTAACTCTTGCTCATTATAAGATGTTATCTTTCACTCTGTTATTGCCCACCTAGTAGCAAAGGCTAGCTCTATCTTATAATAGTTTAACCTAATGGTGTGCACTGCGATTTTTACCTAGACCGATACTTAGGGTTGTGTTACAAAATTACATTCTTACATTTCACTAAAGTTTCAGTAAATTGGATTTCATGTAATTTTCCTCGTGTGTGCCAGCATTATAGAAGTTTAGCCTGTATTATTGCATCAAATACATGATTCGCATTGTAGCTCAATTATTACGACATTTAAATGATGAAAATTATGAAAAATTATAATACGTAAATTCATCTTGTGTTCAAAGTTACAATTACATGAAATATTGATTTACCGAAACTTACGTAAAATTACGCATATCGATATGGGCGGATTTGACTCCAAATGTGATTATCATAAAATTCGCGTTGATTGGTTAATTTACATGTACTGTACATATGAAATTTTGGGGGTGTCGTAAAAGTAGTGATCCTGACCGATAGTGAAAAAATCGGCTTAGCGAGTCGATTTTATTAATAGGATTATGACATTCCTAAAAGTTCTGATGTAAAAAATGAACGAACTTAATCTTCCAAAGGATTCCGAAATTTTAATAAAAAATCGACTGAGCCGGCTAAGCCGATAAAATTTTATCTGCTTAGCCGGTCGAAAATTTTTGATCGGCCAGGATCACTACTGTATACTTTCTTTCTCCTTAGAATAGTTTCGCAAGACATTAAGAAACTGAATTGAAAAAATCGAAGTTAGTCATAATTTCAAAAAAGAGGATATGACCTACTATACTCACAAATCATACAAAATAACAAACTTTTCTAAATGGATGATCGAGTTGAAAGATATCATAATGGAAGGTATGAATCTATACTTTTCGGGACTAATAAAGAAAGAAGTACGGTAGTTAATATATGTCGGGGATGATGCTGAAATCGGATGATGCTGAAATTTTAACTTATTTTAATATGAAATTTTAAAAATTTTTTAGCTTATTTTTTTACAGCTTTTTTTTTATAGTTAGGTTAGGGTTTAGGGTTAGTGTTTATAATAAAAGAGTATAGGTGGGTTTTAGTAGGGTTTATATTTTTAAATCGAGATCTCGAATTTCAGCATCATCCGATTTCAGCATCATTCCCGACAATATATACTAAACATAGCACCCAAATAAACTTCACTTACTGAAAATGAGTCAATAAGCCAATGACGAATTTCAGGTGGAACTATCGCAGTTTGATCAGCTTGATTACTTTAGTTATGTCACATTATTGATTAATACTCATTGAAAGTGTTTAGACAAATAATTCGCTTTAGAGGTGTAACTACAGTCACTTCACGTGGTTTCTGAGGCGGAGTTTTCCACTAAAGAATAATAATTGTGGGGGATGAAGCTGAAGCTGAAAATTAGGGGTCTCGATTTGAGACCATAAACCCTGCTAAAATCTACTTATACTCTTTTAATATAAACCCTAACCCTAAATTCTAATCTAACTATAAAAAAAAACTAAAAATAATGCACCCCAAAAAATTTTAAAAATTTAATAATAAACTATAAAAATTTTCAGCTTCAGCCACCACAATAATTATTCAGATAGCTCTTAGAAATAGATTCACTAAAGTTAACTAAGGTTAACTTACTCCATCAACGGATTTTCCATCATCTTCTATAGTATCTTCTGGACGCGCACGCTTTTTCATGTTTTCTTTGCCTTGGTTCTTTCGCTGAATGTAGTGTACGTAGTATAAGTTAATCAAAATTTTCTAACTAAAAACTAGAAAAATATACCTTGCCACTTTTCTTCTAACAAAGGGTTGTTAATAAAAGAGTATAAGTTGGTTTTATAGGCTTTAAAGGGGACGCAAGAAGACCCCAAATTTCATTTTAATTATGATCCGCCACATTTATTGTTAGGTACTTCGCAATTTTCAAAATTTAAAAGATCTATTTAAGTTGACGACTTAATTTGAGGTATCTAATATGAAAAATGACGCAAAAATTGCGCAGCTACTTATTAATAACCGAATTTGGAATGACGGCTTCAATTAATCGTTCAAATTAGAAAAAAAAAAACATGATAAAAAAGTTTGCATATAATATTATATAGAACAACATGGGATCTTTGCTAGGAAAATCACCCTTCGGAATTTTCTGAACGGGCCAATTCCCAGTTCTTATTTATATGTAAGTCGTCTTTTACCTTTCTTGATGCAATAGTTTATTTAATAAACTATTTTATTGCACGGGTCTTATGTGACAACCCGTGCTTTTTTCATTTACTTATTGGCACGGGATTGTTACGTCAGACACC